GGCCTGGGGGACCGCGGGGGCGCCCCGCCGCGCAGCCCCCGGGGCTCGGGCGTCGACAGGAAGGACCGCGGGTCGGGGGAAAACCATGAAAAAGCGAAATAAACAGGAGCCGAAGCGGCCGTGCGGAGGCGCAGCCCTGGCGCGGCGGCTGGGGAAGGTCCCGCTCGGGCGGGCAGAGCCATCCAGGCGCGGGTGCCGCCGCGCCGGGCAAAGGCGGTGAAGTTTCAGTGGCGGATCCACTAATTCTACTCCTTCGGTGCTTTATCGGTGGCTGAAGTACCAAGCCGAAGGATAGAGTGCCATCTACTGAACCCGGTAATCGCCCGCCGCTAGCCTTAAAAAAGGTGTGTCAAAATACTACCTAGGTGCATGTGACTCTCTCATCAACAGCATTTCATGCATTTTCCCAACCTACAGAACAGTCTATAACAAGCATAATAAGTGAGTAAACCTCTGTCTTGTATTTGTAGGTGATTTTTTTCTGTTACGACAGTCCTTGCAAAAGCGATGCCCCTGCATGCAAATGGCAAAACGACAGAGCTGGGCTACTAATGCCGCCTTTCAAGATGATGGAACCAACTGAATAATCAAATCAATAATCAGTTCTGGGAAATGAAGTAACCCTCAGCTATGGGGTTCTCGGTAACGGAACTGAGCCCAGAAATGACACAAAACCTAAAGAAAATAATGTCCTTAAAATTATGTCCTGCAAGAGTCTGCAGTATTTCAGTTACGCAAGAGGCACACCAGTGCTGGAGTTACTGCTTCAGCAACTACAGTTTGCACTGAAGTGCCACATCAAACATTTCACCACACCTGAGAAAGCATACATCACTATCAGATAATAAACCAGCATGGCCAGGGAAGTCTATTGTGTCCCTCCTAACAAAGGTGGTGTTCTCTACAACCAGAAATTCATTAAAAGCCTTGGGACTTTCCTCTTTATTCTAACTCTGAAGCAACTGCATTGGTACTGCTGTTAATTGAGTTTCATCCCTTTACTCGAATACCTCTTTTAAATGAGGCCTCTCAATCCACCCAAATTCTGTGTATATAACCCCATCCTTTCTTGCGTATAACCCAAGATGTATCTTAACCTCCAGAGTGGATTTAAGTAGCCACTCAGGGGATAATCTCCCATGTATCTGCAAGGATTAACGCATACAACTCCCAATTAACTGGAGGTTCTTGTACATGTCCTTCACACATTCAATGCCCAAGCAATGAAAGTACCTTGCAATATTAAAATTGACAAATGTGCAAAAATAAATCTATCAAAAAGAACCTTAACAAAAAGACAAACACAATAGTGGGAGTGTATAGCATAATTTACATCAACACACATTTCAGCTCTATAATAACATATATCAACATAAGCAGGAGAGATTTATAACAGTTGCGCCAAATAAAAAATGTGACATAGGTAGAACAAAAGAAAAATATGTAAGAGTTATAGGAAGTTAAACAGTCTATTAGATATAAACTTTAAAATGACAAGCTATATCATCTTTAATTAATGAAAGAAAATTGTGCCTCTGGCACTTTAAAAAAAAAATAAAAATTCACTGAAGCCCAGCTCATTGCACAGGCACAGAACTGAAGCAAATTTCCAATGGTTCTTATTTTAGCAAGATGTATAATACAGTAGCTGCAACATCCTTAATCCTCCTCTGCAAAATATACATTAATTCTCTTTAGAAAAAAAAAAAATAATAATAACAACGTCATACCCTGATCTCACTTCAAAAACATAAGAATATCACGGTTGTTTTGAAGAAATAGTGCTAAAAATATTATTTTCAGCAAATAAGGCTGTGACTAAGTCCTCTAACATGGAGCACTATTACAGATGACTCACAGAAGAAGTCAGAAGCAGTATGTGCTCAGAGTGTTAGCTCTGAAGCTGTGTCTACTGAGCCACTGATTCTTCCTTCTTCTGCCTGTCAAGCTCACACATCTCAATCTGCTTCTCACGATACAGTGTCGGGCTGAAAGCCGCACACTGACATAGGAACAGAGCAATGTCTGTGCTGGGTTAGACCAGAGGTCCATCTCTGAAGTGTTTCCAGTTCCTGTCTCCATCTTTTGGAGATGAAGGAACCAAACCTGCACAGTCTTCAAACCACAGGTCAGTCACAGATTCATATAGAGGCACAGCAAAGGTCCTGACTACCTCCTTTACTCTTTCCCCACATTTGATTCACTTTTATCTTCTGAACATTTAGCAAACATTTTTATGGAACTGATCATTCTCTCCTGCTTTTTGTTTCTCGTCTTCTGACCAGTTATTTATCCACGCAAGGGCCTTCCCCTTCACACTACGGCTGCTTAGAAAGCCTCTTGCAAATCTAAGCTTTTGCTCACCCCACTATACATACAAGCCTCCCTGGCCCTCTTTATCCAGGTGCCACTATCACTTCAAGACAATCAACTCCTAAAACTGTCATCTGAACAAAGCTACACAAATCATTCTTGTTCAGTAAGTCGTTGCTTTCAATAACAAGAATAATTAATTTATCTCAATCTTCAGAATGAAGTGTTATCCCCATAGCTCTTTTTGACCTTGATCTTCTCCCACATAGTCCAATTTACCAGGGTTTTCACTCAGGCTCTTCCCACCTCGCAGGCTCTACCATTCCCTTTGCACCAATCTACTTGCAGTATCAGATCAGTTGATCTCAAATCCTTTTAGAAAAGAACTGTGTTTCTGGTTGGTTGGAGCGTGCTTAGCACCCTCCTGTGTTTCACACTGACTGCAGACATTCAACAACATAATGTTACAGTTCCACTTATTCATCCAGTACTGAGATTGCCTGAGCAAGCTACATACTATTCAACAGCACAATTAACCTAAATAACAGTCTCTCTGTTTCTAACTATGCTGAGTTGGACAAGTCCCTCTTAGGAGGTTCAGAAAAGGTTGTCCAACACCTCAATTTTCTGAATTATTTGCCAACTTTAGTTTCAGCTACTATACTGCTAGAAAAGCTGTTCTTGCAGTTTCCTCATCCTAATCAGGAGCAGGAATTGGTAAAATTCTTATGAACTAGTAAAATTTTTACAAACAAGACAACTTTCCTTCTGAACCCGAAAGACAGAAAGCACTCCTGTGAGCTTCAAGGTTTCTGTCTAGCAACTTTTAAAAGTTTTCAACACACCATTTTTTAACACTTAGCCATTGGCATTCAGACCCTCTAGCCAAGAGGCTATCCCCACCTGTGGCCATAAGGAGATGCTTAGATAATAGTAATAGCAGGGTAAGTATATATGATACTTTCCCATAATACTCTTCCATCCTTCAGATATTTTGAGATCAAGTGAGTTTCTGAGCTAGATATCTGCATTTAATTGCCCTCAGTGGATTTCTCTACCATGTACTAGCCGAGCCTTTCACTCACTGATGTAGGCTTCAACACTGCTTGGCAACAAGCTCCACACATCTACTCATGATGTGAAGAATTGCCTCTTTCTCTTTGTTTTGAACCTGGATCCTGCTAGTTTCATTTAATGTATCCTTGTTCTCATATCGAAGAACAGAACGAACACTTAACTATTGACCTTCCCTATGACACCCTTGGTTTTGCAGGTTTCTGTCACACCCTCCCTCCTTAAGTTACCCATTTTCAAGGTGATGGGTTAAAATCTACTTAGTTGTTCCTTCCAGGGAAGCCAGTATCAGCCTTTGAAAGCAGGGTATCTCTGTATTATTATGAATTATGACAACAGTAAAAGCACTTTTCTTCCACTGCTGAATGAAGAATGATAATAAGATCACTCATAGCTTTGTGGTGCTATAAAATTTGGATAGTAAAAAAAATAATGAAAATAAAGAACCAATTATAACACTGCAATTAGGAGAGATCACTCTTCCTCCTGCTTATCAAAGTCCTGGAAGAGATTACTTTTTAACCCATCATAAAAATTATTTACAAAAGATATTTCAGGAATGATCTGGAAGAAACCAGAGAATGAAAGAAACAAACACCCACACATCACTGTACGTGATAAAGGGGTCATGTCTCTTTAAGTCTGCAGGGAGAAAAACAAGACATTTGCACTAAAAAGCTGAGGCTGATCCTAAGTGCATTACATCTAAAGGCAGCATCCCTAGCTGTAAGAGCCTCAAATGCAATGAGTGGGTGAGAGTAGACCTTTGAGCTTCATTCCAAGACCTAGTGACAGCCCTAAAAGCTCTCGTAAACTTGTGAAGATTGCTTCTTTAAACTAGGAATGCTGGGCCAAATTCATAGGAAATCTAAATTAAAACATGCTTGGCTTCTGCTACAGATAAATTGATCACAAAATAAACACCAGCCAACAGACCTTGTTGCAGAAGGTGGCTAGTACAAGAATGTTCTGTTTGCAGGTGTTTTGTTCCATGTTGTTTGCTCACTTTATTTGTATCTCCCTCTCGTTCCACTCAGAACCGTACCTGCAAGAGGAAGGTGGGGTTTCATGGCATATGCTGAAGGGTGGACGAACTGGGAAATCAGTTCCTTAGGTCTGCTTCAATCGAGGGAGCAGAAACCTAAAAGTTAGCCCTCCAGCAACAGTTCAGCAGTCTGGATGAAAATGTTCTCAGGATCCTCAGCAGAGTACAGAGGTGGATGTCCCTGGCTCTTTTTAATCACAGCTGTGCCTCTACATGACGGTCCTGATACTGTCCTGGGGATAAACCATGGGCTAGCCTGACACAGAATGGATTTTTTGTGCCCTTCCAAAAAGGGCTTGAATACACTGGTAGGTCAGTCTGAAATTATAAACCTGTGGGATTATTTAGTTCCTAGCCTGGAATGTCTTTTTTCTATTTTAAGATGGTGGTTTAGTTTGTTAGTCACAAACCACCATTCTCTGCTCTTAATATCTAGCATAAATCATGGAATGGTTTTGGTTGAAAGGGACCTTTAAAGACCATCCAGTTCCAACCCCCTGCCACGAACAGAGACACCTTCCACTAGACCAGGTTGCTCCAAGCCCTGTCCAACACTGCCAGGGAGGGGGCAGCCACCACTGCTCTGGACAACCTGTGCCAGTGCCTCACTACCCTCACAGTGAAGAATTTTTTCCTAATATCTAATCTAAATCTACCCTCTTTCAATTTAAAACCGTTACCCCTCATCCTATCCCTACACTTCCTGATAAAGAGTCCCTTCCCATCTTTCCTGTCACCCCCTTTAAGTAATGGAAGGCCTCTATAAGGTCTCCCCAGAGTCTTCTCTTCTCCAGGCTGAACAACCACAGAAAAACCCCAAAAAGGAATGTTTTACATACTTTAATACATATCCAGTCAGTATCTGCTCTAGCACCTGGATAAGTGCTTCCCTGAATATTTCAACTACTTAATAATTCACTTTTTTAAAAGTGTAGTTCTGTTAAGTTTCTCATATAAATATATTTGTGTGTGTATATGTATATACCCATATAACCCTTTCTACCAGGACGTACCATAGCATGTTGCAAAGAAAGTGAAGAGGAGAAAGTCCCTCACTGATTTCATCATGGTAAATTAAATTTGAGTCCTACTGCAAAACCTTAATTTTCTATCCTAGCAGCATTTCTAGACAGAAGCTGATACCAAACATCTTCCTGTAGCAAACCCTCTGCAAAATAGATGTCCAAATAAAACAATTGCAGTTAACCTATATAACACGTCAACCTTAAAAACCCCTATTGTATTGAAACTGTTCATGACTTTGAACTCAGTTATCTTACAGTCCTTTTATTTCCTTACAGCTCACCACAGATACTGTGATGTAACTCAGTCAGTCTATGCCTTTGCTATGAAATTGGTTCAAGGTTGAGAGCGAATGCAGTACCCAAAGTTCAGTGGCACTAGAACTGTTGGAATCTAGGTTCACAAGTTTTGATCTTACCTTTATGCTGTTGCATAAACCATTCAGGATGCTTTGCTTGATTTACTTATAGACAAAATTTTTGTTCTGCACTTTCCATTTTCACCAAAAAGTAGACCCGAAACATTTGCTTTTACTTGTTTTGATGCAAAATTTTGTCATTTAAAACAATTGGGGAAAGTAAAATATCTCCTCCTTAGATTATTTTCTAGGTTTCTTTTAAGAGAACAAAGCATTCAAAACAGATCTGAAGAAAATTTAGTGAAGCATGTTGCTAAATAAACTTTCATGGTGTCTTCCCATCTGTCTTGCCTTTCTTAAAGACTCTGTATTAGAGCTTCAGCTAACGTAGGTTAACACAGATCTAATTATGTTTGGGGTAGCTGCTTAGAAAAGCTTTGGAAGAATTTGGTGAGGATTACTTAGCACACTATTAAACTAAAGAAGGCCTTCAGAAAAGATATGTGTTCAGTCTTAGGTATTCTGATAAACAATTACTCTGAGAATTTCTCTTGGCTTTTTTATTCCATTTGAGAGGACTACATCCAGTAATGCTGTAGAAATCAAAGCCAGAAAATCTAAATATTTGGTTAGAGTAGGCTTTGTTTACCTGCATGCCAACACACTAACACCTCTGGGATTTATGGAAATAAATGCATAAGGCATATGTTCCTTCATTTATACATAGTATTTTGGCAAGTGTTTAGGATTTGGATGCCACAGTGTACTACACAGGCAGCATAAATCCATGAAGATGAGGATGTACTGTGTGAATGAAGCAACTGTCTGTTGGTAAATTCCGGTGCTGCGCATTCAACAATCATCTGCCTATGAATGAAGTCAGGGGATTAACCGGCATGAAGTGTTTACTGAAGGGTTGGTGTTTTTGGAGGAAAATAGTATCAACTTAGTGAAGATATACTCAAAAGAGGGGTAAAATAGAGGTAGTAATGCTGATCTTGAGGAAAAGCTTTCAGGCTTTTCAGGTGTGAAAAGCACAGTAAGCCAGAGGTTTACTGTTACAGGTGTTACACCCAATGTTCCTTCCCATTCCTTAAAAAGGTCTCCTAGCCGTTAGACTGGCATAGTCTGGCACCCCTTCAGCAATACATTTGAGAGAGAAACCAGTTCAGACCAGGGAACTTATTTTTCCCTTCTTAAATGCAGGTGAATTAAGTGATCATAAAATTCTTCACACTGACAACATAAGAAACTGAAATCCTCTGTTCTGGATCTCTAATCTACAGAGCACTTTTGTCTCCTGCAGTATACTGTATACTATATTGTTGGGTCTGTTGAACCAGAGAGTGCTGCTACTAATACAATTATTTTTCAATACCTGCACACTTCTGCTCACCAGGTCTCCACTGGGAAGGACTATAGAGCATTAAGATACAGGTCAAGCAGCCACTTACCCACTTATTTTAGCCTATAAGTGTTCTCACTTCCCCTGGGATCAGTATGTTTGCAACAACACATGTGAAAATTGAGTTCAGAATATTATTGCAACAAATCCTTCCCAAGTCACCCAGCCAGTTAAAGACAGTGCCTCTCTTCATTCACACATGTATACCCCCAAATCTCTCCTACTTATAAAAGCATGTAAAAAAAGATATGCATCACACTAAGCCTCAGAATAAACAAACTCACTCTGCATAAGGTCCAGGAGGAGAAAGAAGGTATGTTTTCCATTTATGTGACTGCTAGCTTACATGTCACCTCTTATCTGAGAGGCAGGCTACTGGTGCAGTGAGATAGAAGAGTCAAGACCCAACAGTGTCACCACATAAGCAGCTCACACACATGCCTGCTAAATTTCACTTACCAGAATATAAAAGCAAGCCACTTGGCTGCTAACACAGAAAGTGTTTCATTTAATGGGTTGTGAACTGTGCAAAGACAATGAGGTCTCTCATGAGAAGATTACAGGTGTTTCTCACAGCCCCAGCCATTTTATGGGTGATTCAGTATCAGCCAGGTTGGGCTGAGTGACATCTCCATTTCCTACTTCCCCCCCACCTCCCTCTACAGATCACAAGACAACGGGACAAATGTTTTCTCCACGTTAAATCTTTATTAAGGTTCTCAAGACAAACAGAAAAATTACTATTATCAGACTAATGTAGTGCTTTACAAACTGTGCCCGTCCTAACAGTTTAACGGTATATAAATAAGTAGAAGAGACAATTACAGTGAACTACACAAACATGAGTAAGCTGATCTCACTGTGAAGTAAAACAGGCTTCTGTATTTTTATGACTGTCTATAAAAGGTATGGCGAGTATTAAAGTTGTCTGGTATTTATTAAAAGAGCCTGATTTTTTTTTCAGCTGCTTATTACTTTGCCATATTCTTCATTTTTGTGCCAAAACTTTCTGTGTAAGATGGAAGACATCAAAATTGTCAGAAAACTCTGGCTAAAGCTGCTCTGTCATTTCCAACAGCAACAGTAAGAAAAGAGTTTTGTGAATGTCAACTTCTGGCAAAAGTTTCTTAGGGAAGCTTTAATACCTCTATGTTTTAAGAAGTATTTCCTGGTTTTTAAGTCAAAGCAATAACTAGCCTGTGCTGCCCTCCACACTGCCACAGATGGCCCAGATGGCCCAAGTACTTCTTTCTATGCAGCAGTTCCTTTAGAGAGCGTAGAAATATTTTATACCTGTAATGGCTGCTCTGGGCCAGCCTCAAAAGAACAAACAGGGGCGCATCCTCCCTGTACTCTTGTTGACCTCTCCTCTTAGTCCTAACATACCACGGGGAACCACACTCTCTTAATCAAGTGCAAAGATGGACCTAGAGGGCAGAGAGACCTTAATTTAACCTCGTGGGAAGAGATGGGTGCTTACAGGTGGCAGAGGAGACAGATGGGAATTTGAATGATCTAGAGAGAGGCAAAGGGGGACAGCAGTAGATGAAGACTCAGCAAGTCAGACACAGAGCAAAAGGGTAGCAAGAACCAGAAAACAGAAGGGGGAGAAACAGAAGAGTAAGGAGTGAGAGGTAAAACAAACCCAGCTCATAGGTGAAGGAGGGAAATTGGGTATGCCCGGATAAGCAGGGATGGCAACCTGGAAAAACACATTTATACTTCCTCAACAAGAATATTTGTACTGAGGTAAGAACCTGAGGCATGGATGTTGCAATGAGCTAAATGAGGAGTACAGAAGTAGGACAAGGGAAAAGGATGGAGTGGTAGATTGGCACCTGCAGACACCACCCTCTGTGTCCACCAGATCTCAGACCTTGCTAGCAACGCTCGTAGGCATGGCTACGCTCTGTCCCTGCTGTCAGCAGCATCTAGAAAACCCACCAGCTAATTTTTCCATCCCTGGCAGTAGACCATGCAACAGGAGTAAGGTGAATTGCTGACTGTTGCGATTAATCGTGGCACTAATCCACGTGGAAGAATTTGCTTCAGTGGATTTAGATGTTCCCACTGCCCTCAGCACCCACAGTATAACACTAGACAACTGAACCGCTCACTCTATTTTTTGCTTTATATTCTTCAAAACAATGCAATCACATACAGGAGGGGAGAGTACTGTTTAAATCCATTCACTGCTTGGGGAACAGAGATTTGAAGGCAGCTCTCCTGCTTCCCCAGAAAGCCTAAGAGCTAGAGGGCTACTCTACAAACCTTTACCCTCCAGCGAACCGTCACTGATGTCAGGAGATTGCTCAGGTGTCACTGAGGGCATTGCTTGTGGACAGTCAGATTACGCCAGCAGGATTCAGAGACCATGTCCATCCACTGTAATTTCTACTAATGGTGCTGACGTACCAGAAAATTTACCTTGACTTCTGTCTCCAGGAAAGAGTTTCCTTTCCTCATATACAGCATGACAAGAGAGAGACGTGGAATCCCTCTTTTTTTCATGTGTTTTAATATATACATAAAATATACATAACGCATATAAGTGTACTTCTCAGAGTACAGCTATTTGGGGAATAACATTCCCTCTGAAATGTTCAGCTCAGGTTGGATAGAGAGAGAATTAGAGGAAATAAATGTGAAATTTTACTTGTGTGGATTATAAAATCAAGTCCAGAAGAAATGAGCATTCCCTCCACAACATGACATTGTCTTGCCTGTAGACATTACCACAAGCAGAGATTCACTGTATCAGAAATAGGCAAAACCAACAAATCTATACACTGTGTTTATGGGATGGTACAAAATTCATCCCTGGCTTATGCAACTGAAATTCAGTTGAATGCAAAGTGGAGTTGTCAAGTGTCTGGATGTGAGTCTATTGGAAGGAGAGGGATGGCTGTGTTGTTCCAGAGAGTTGTTAGGAGCAGGACCCTGGAAATCCAGTGAGAACAGCATTTACCTAAACATTTGCCATTAATTTCAGTTAATTTCCTAGTTGCCTGTCTTTTTTTTTTTATGTGTTCCTCCTCCCTGACCATACAGAGGTACAATTTTGGAAGCTGTCTTCCAAGAAACCATCATAAACAGAGACTTTGTCTGGAATTGCTGATGGTTCCTAACATAAAAGCCCATTAAATCCTCCTGTGAATTACATATCAACACTTTAGTCTAAGAGCAGCTCAAATTTTAAACAGTTGGGCATCTAAACTAACAGGCTGCAAAGTAAGTTGTGATACCGGTTTTAGTGTTATACACCAGTAAAGTTAATGCTTCAGTATCATCTGGAGGTACCTTTAATAATGAACAGAAATCTCCCATTTTAAATTCTACAGAGAGCACATTAAACACTGAAATGTAAACTAAGAAACTTTTAATTTTTAGCTCCAAAGCTCCTGTCCAGCCTGAAAGTCAAATATAAGACTTACATTACCTCACCTAGAGCAGTAAATAACAGCAGCTGCTTTATTAGATGGGTTCTTTCAGCTTTCCCCCCAGGATGTCCAGTTAATGCATTGCAAATGTCTGGTTCCTATCCCAACTGAAATATTCGTATTTTTAAGAAACATGTTTGTATGTGTGTTTATATATATGTACAGAGAGAGAGTGTGTATTTATATATATGTACAGAGAGAGAGAGAAAACTCTGTTGTATCTTATGTCAAGTAAAGTGAGATAGTTTCTGCAGGAATAAAAAAAAAAAATCAGTCCCCATCCCCCCTCTCAAATATATAAATTTTGAAATCCTATGCAAAGAAAAATAAACTGAAAGTCTAAATAAATATCTGTGTGCTCAACAGAACCTTCTGAAAAAGATTTCTATAGCAGAATATCCCTGTTTCTCCCCTGCATGCTCTTCAAGCACAGTTTAACAAACATCAGCAAAGAATACTTCAGCTCTGTATTCACAGGGTTTTGGCTCAGCATCCAAATATGCTCAGAACAATTTTTAGCCCCAAATCAAGGAAGACTGAGACTCATTTTCCATTTACCTATTGTTGCATACAAACTGTGAACGCATCTCAAAAGATAACCATGTCCTAGACAAAAATTATAGAGTTACTAAAGCATTGGGGGTGAAGATTGTGGGTGGGTGGTATTTCAGGATTAGGTATTTCTTAATAAGTAACTCCTTAGGGTGGTAGTACACTTTGTCCCGTGTTTGGCCAGCAAGTGGATTAGGGAGAAAATTTCTCTTGTAGATCACTGCACACTTTAGAAAGTCAATGCATACACTACTTAGACATTACTTACTGAGAAACACATGTGGCAATAGCTAGAAACGTGTATGGTTTCAGGCATAAAGCCCATAACCCTTGCGAACAAAAGAATGAAGAAAACGACAACGTTTTACTCACCTGTCTCAGAGAAGCAGTAAATAGTATTTAGAAAGTCGTTAAGCAAAATTGTAGAGGGCTGGGAACACTGAGCAACTGCATTGGGTTATTTACCTGTTTCGGTGTCTCCTTGGGGTGCACGACAGTAACAGCAGTCCATGAAGATAATGTAGTTGAACACATTGAAGAACAGACCTGCAATCCCCACAACGAGGACGAGCAGTGCTTTCTCAGTCTTCTGAGGATTGATAAACCTCTTGATTGCCTCAATGAAGATGCTAAACATCAGAGCGGTGGCAAAAACAGAGTTGCCAAAAGCTCCCAGCACATCTGCCCGGCTGAAGCCAAAAGTGTTAGCCTTGTGCCATCTGATACGACTGAACCTGACACCAAACAAACCGATGATCATGGAGATCAAGTGAGAGAGAACAGCAAAGGCATCTGAAGCTAAGGAAAGAGAATTGCCAACGTAGCCTACTGAGATCTCAACAGCAAAAACCACAAGGCTCACCACAGACATGAGGATGAGCCTGATGCTCCTGCCCGAGTAGCGGCCCATTTCTGGGGCTCTCTTCCCCTTACTGTGAGGTTCTGCAAGACGGAGCTGTGCAAGGAGCAACTCACTGCCCTCAATTCTGCCCTTCACCTGTCAGCGTTGCTCACATGCAGGAGCCACTTTTATAGGAAGCAGTAAAGCAATAAATCAGTTTAAAGGGCAGTTTAGCAAGATTTGTCATGTGAAGACAGCCTGAAGACTCCAGTCCCGTAGGGGTTCCACCCTCAGGAGTCTTTTTTTTTTTTAATTATTTCTACAAAACCAAAAATAAACCAAGGGAAACTACTGGAAGCACCACAGCACTTGCTGCTCTACCCAATGGCACTGTTCTGAAAAACTGAATAAGGCCCAGACAGGAATGCACAAGAAGGTGGCTCAGAATTTTAAGCAGTTAGAGAAGCATTTATTTTGCATAAAATTCTCATTTGATGTCTGTTTCAGCCATTTCGGTTGCTTTTAGTACTTCAGCACTGAGAAAATACTACTACATGCCTGTGGAAGAAGACATATGAAATCCATGCTGTATGGACATTATTTTTAAGAACACAGTAAATATGAACTGCTTGTGAGAGTCATGGAACATGCTGTCCACAGAGCAAGTCTCAAAGACAACTGAAATGAATTTCCATTTTATCAGTCTGGTGTTTTCAACTGCTTGTACTTTTAGCCCATGGAAATGGAGCAAAGTTGGAGGCCGTTTTCTAAATATGCAGCCAGTAGACACGGAAGTTGAGCCTCGACAATAAACCTAAAGCGCATTGCTTATTGCCCATATAGAAAACCCTTGACTATCTCAAAATCCCAAAGTAATCTTCATACACTTGCAAGGAAGAGTCAGTTTTGGGAAAAGCACAACCAGAAGTTAAGGGGGATGTAAGAGCTGCAGAAGTCTTAGCTTGTACTTGATGCCATTTCTGGAACAGAGTAAGAACCTGATGCAGTAACTATTTTTTGTCACTCGTAGTACCTGCTGAGCTCTTGGGTGTATGCACAGTTTATGCACACTCACAAACCATGGTGAAGGAAAACTAGCTGCTAATAGCACACTAGGCAACATGGATGATAAGACCAGGTGCCTTCCTTGAAAATTTTATGATCCAGTTTTTGTTTGAAATGCACATCTGTGTACATATATATACACAGTTAGTTACAAGATAAAACGGAAGGAAATTGTATCAGTATAGCCATAGATAAGATAATAATACTGATAACCTGAGCTGACCAACTGTCCCTGCTGGCCTTAAGACTTCCCAAGGTGAATTAACTTTAGGTTAAAAACTCAAACACCCACCTGCAATTTTCTTTTTTTTTTTTTTTGCTCATAGGTTCCAACAGCCAAAATATTTATGTTTAAAGTCCAGGTTGTTAGAAGCCTTGCCTGCCAACGATGTAACTTTTAACATTTAGTCACTTGTCTACCTATACACTGCAGCTGCAACTCTTGAGGGTTCCCCTCCTTCCCCTCACCACTAAACCTGGTAGGGTGAATTAGTAGAACTGACTTCAACATTGAAACTGGTACTTGCTCTTCTTCCTCTTCATCATCTTCCACCTGTGTTACTGCCTCTAGTGCAGCTGTTTCTAAGGTGTTTTCTTCCTTCAACTACTTAGTTATTTTATTACCTGAAGTACAGAGCATGAAAAGTGAGAATTTTTTTTCAAGTTATTCTCCTTTCAATGGGAATAGATCAAGATCAAGCTTCAGAGCTCTCAAAAGTCCTGCCTTACACAAGGTTTTGATTACCAAAACAAGACCTTGAGCTAAACGAACCATTCCCTCTATAGCAGAGCTACAACGCTCAAGTGTTCTCTATTTTGTCAACGAGGAGCAGAACCATGTTAAGGCAGTTCACCTGTATCCCACCTTACTATGCTGTTTAACACAAATTTATCAGTATACAACTATAAGAACTAAGGAAAACTAGATTTTCAGTTCTAACATAATTTAATCAACTATAGTGTATTATTCTGAATCATATACTTATTTTCTAACAGATACAATCTACTAAGTCTGAAAGTTTTCATACCACTACAATTAAGAGTATGGATGTTTTTCTAATGCTTTACAGATAAGCTCAGATGTGCTTCTGGTGAAAGGATACTTGTCACAGACATGTGTGTCTCCCAGGCAGACATTAGCCTCTCTGTGGAAGACCACCACAGATATCTGCAGGTGAGCCATCCACATTCCAGACACTTCAAGCCCTACTATGATCAGGAAGAAACATGCTGGGGGAAATAAAGAAAACAAGAAAGAAAAAAAAAAAGGGGGGGGGGGGCTAGCCTTCTGTAAAATCTCTGGCTTCAAACAAACCCCTTTGTAGGTTGAAAGCAACTAATTTCTAACAACACTGTCAACATGTTTACTCATGAATTTGATCCAGTCAACTGGTTGAAGGTTGGCTGTTTGTTCAAACTGATAAGGTTGCAGCACTGTTAAGAGACTGCATTTAGTTTTGCCTTTCCTTTGTTCTGCGCTATTAACAACTTACACATCTCATTTTTAAAATACTGGTGTTGTAGTGTTTCAATGGGAGCTGAAAGTGCTCATCTATTTTTTTTTTTGCTCTTTCAAAAACTTTAGCACGCTCCTGTCTGAGGATACTGAAGCTGCTTGTTGCCACCTCTCCCCTTCCCCCAGCACAAGTGAGCTGCAGAGGCAGTACCTCTGAAGACTAGTCTTAGTTACCCACCATTTGAGGCTGGGAAAACATCACTCTGGTACTACTACTACTTACGCTCTTTCTTACTTTGATATCATTCCAGTCAGTGTCGGCATACCAGGATAGGAAGACCTTAGGGCTGCTCTTCTGGTACATCAACTGAGAAGGAAAGATGCATGCATACTCTGACCTACAGTTCACCAAATCCTTTGCTCATTACTATGTAGTGAGAAAATACCTAGACAGAAGAATGCAAGATAGATGATTTTAAGATGCAATTGAAGCAAACTGTACAGGACTAACCATCATCCAAAGAATATTACAGAGAATTTCCAAGTGCTCAAGCAAGCTGATCTGAAATATTTCATCATTTTCACAGTTTTCTGTGAAAAACTGGGGTATTATCACAGGGTGCATGGTCCTAAACTAAACAGGCTGGTTCAAATTTAATGTTCAAAATTTTGACTAGGAGGGCTGACCAAAGGAATCTAGGCAAAAGCAAACATTTCACATGCTTTTGAAAAGCAGAGAACTGTGAAGATCAGGGAATAGCACTGTAAGTCTTCTTATGTTTAAGACTTTTAAGACGACTGATGCTAAATAAAAATAGGGTTTTGGAAACAAGCAGCCATGTAGTATTGTCCCAGGAAGAGTTTGGGGAGGATCTCACTGGTCCAACTTTTTAATTGCCAAATTTTCACTCAACTCTTCTCAGAAAAGGGGGTTTACTAGACAGCCTTCAAACACACAGGCGAAAAAAGTAACCAATTAAGCATCTGTCATCCAAAAGTTATTTTGTGCCAGGGCTATCTTTTTTTTTTTTTTTTTTCTTTTCCTAAAGTTAATCCTATGTTCAGAGTGGAAGTAACTTTATTTTTAAAATAACTTAACTGCAACATCCAGCCTTCTCTGCTAAAGCAACACATAGTAAGTGCAGGAAAAGCAAAAAGCTTTTATGAAACATACTATAGATATAACCACAGCCTAAAATCTTTGGCACTGCAACTACCTCTCTTCAGATTGCATTTGCATTACTCATTGCAGTATCACTGCGAGACAGCTATAAATGCCAGTTTATAAGATAAGAGAAACAGGGCTTTGCAAAATATCTGCAAGAAATGGCATTGGCCTGCATCTTGCTAACACTGTGGCATTTAATCTAAGATAGCCTTTCAAACTTGTTTTATGATCATGTGAAATATATTCAGTGAAACACCTGGCTCCAGACTGAGTTTTCAAAAAGGGTAGCGTTTACCATGCCTACAAGTTAGCAGCAAGTATGTACTGAAAACTGAAAAATTTGAAGTCAAAATTACAAGCAAATGTTTTATCTATAAAGTTTATGTTGGCACACTAAACTGTACTGTAGAATGGTTATGACATTCTCTCCAATTTTTCAGGCATCTTCTTAATATACAAGAAGATATATGCACCAAAACAGAAAAAAAGACATAAGCAAAGGATACCTATCCTTCCCATTGAGCAACGCAGAAAAAACAACCAAGGCATATTACAGCTCACAATACATGTTTATTATTAGAGATGTTTACAGAAAAGTCTGTGAATTACTGCTAGCCTAAGACTGACACTGGGGGGGTTTATGGTTTATGGCTTTGTTTTTTGAATCATTTAAAAAGTCACAAAACCGATTAAGTTTGGGGGCTATTTCAGTCTTATTAAAAAAAGTTCAATTCACAGATAAAGGAGAAGGTGCTTTCACTAGTAATTTAGTAACTACGACCAAATAGGGTGTAAAACTTGGCAGGGTTCTTGCCGCAGACACATCTTGCCCCACACTGTAGTTCACGGAGAGGCTGAAACGGTATGCAGAGGCTTTTTGCTCCCATGGAGGGGGCACCAGGCTCAAGATCTTGATCCCTGAAATAAAAGCACACTCATAAAGATATCCTTTTATTTTAAAATAATGATGCAATGAAGTGTGTTATACATAAAATCTCAAAAGCGCACTAATTAGTCTGATAGTTTCAGAATTAAGGAAGTAAACATACTGAATTACAGAGGACAGCAAGAGTCAAGGGTGAGGACTCTACATGAGTAATATACCCAGAGGTATCTTACATTCCTGCTTTATATTCAAAACATTTTGATTTTAATCTTGGTAGATTCTCTCTAGTTCAGTTCTAATTACCTGGCAGTGGTCTTCTTGATCCAATCTTCGCACTCAATTTCCCCACAAAAAGGGATTTGTACAATCTGAACAGGATAGGGGGGAGAAAAAAAACCAACACACAACAGTTTTATATCTAAAAAAAGTCATCCTTATCTCTGGAAGATTCCTAGACCTTAAGTTCTCATGTACACTCTAAGTGGGAAAAGTTCTGATAGCTACAATTAAATTTCAATAGCAATTTCTCATGAAAGAAATAGATAAGCACAATCATCCTTCCCATAGTGCAGCATGTAAAACCCTATACAAACCCAAAGCAGCATTTAAATCAAGACAGGGTGCTGATTTTACTTTTTTTTTTTTTTAACCCAATATATCTTCCTTCTGTGGGAAGTATAAATACTGATTTCTCCCAAAATAGTCACTTTTCAAGAAAAGTTTAAGACTTTCAAACTGCAGAACAAATGCTTGCTTACACAGTGCAAGACAGTGCTTTCTTAATAAAGTTTCCATTTTAATGCCATTACTATGAATTTTCATATTTTTCTGAACAAAACAAGGAGATAAGTATTT